TCCTAATCTCACCATTTCCTTTCTCTAAACAATAATTTCTATTCTAGAATTGATTTCTTTGTATTCTGACAATAGTATTTGTCTCTTTTTAGACTGTAAAAAAAGTACTATGGGGGCAGAAACTTCATTTATTGTTGAATTCTGGAGCCTTGAGTGTATGGAGACACTGGATAAAATATTTAGTGAAATAATTAATTTAAAAAGATTTATTTATGCGTACAAGAAATGGGGTACAGAAGTGCAGGGGTTAAGAGGGCTACCCAGAGACAGAGTGAGGAGCAGAACAGGCAGATCGACTGAAACCTACTGCTGAGGGGAGCAGTGGTGAGGCAGGAGAGGTCTGCTGCGCCATGTAGGCCAGCTCCCTGGCTGGGGATTGAACTCTTGTGGCAGTGGCTGCGAAGGACTTCATAGTACTGTGCTCTAACCCCTTCTCTAATCTTCCTTGTCTAATCTTTTGCCAAGACTGTTAACTCCACCTTTCTGTGCTCTTATTTATACACTGTAATTGCTGGCAAAAGAATGGTAAACGATTACAAAGAATAAGAGCAATAGCATGCGATCTAATATGTGTACAGATCAACTTCCAATTGAATGTGTAAATGAAATGATCATTCTTGCCACATACTTGCAATTTTCATACCAGATGACAGAAGTTGTCTGTTTGATCAGGCTTTTTCAGGCTCCTGAACCTTCTTTTAGGCCCATCCGTGTACCTTTTTGTAAAATCCAGTTCTAGCAAAAATCCTCTACCCTGGATATCTGATCACTAATATCTGATCAGGTTCCTTAACCTCTGTCTTCACCCCACAGAGAGGGTCTGTTCTAAGCAAGAATCCTATTAGTTTGGTTCAGCCAGAACCCCTGACCCCTGAAAACATGTCTTAGTACTTTTTTATACATGGATATCCATCTGGTCCTTGTCTCTGAGAGCCCACTTAGCTATGCTTGATTCATAACTGAACCTGTTTCAATATTAAGATCTCTTTTCCCATATTGCTGTAGTACTGAATAGAATCTGTTTTTCACTGTTTGAGCTACTGTTTAGTTCTGGTTTTAATTTAACATAGATAAGTGAAAAAAAATTTTTTGCAAAGAACTGTTATCATATTTTTATGTCTATTTTGCCTGGCTCTTAGTAGTTCTTTAGTACTAGTAGTTGAATGAAATAATAGCTAATCTGAACTCCTTGATATTTATAATATATATGTCCTTATTCTTTTTATCTATTAATGTCTTCTTTTTGTTACTGTGAATCTACATGTGTATTTTTTTTTTAAAGATTTATTTGTGCATACAGAATTGGGGTACAGGCCAGAGGCTCAGGGGCGGTGAGAGGCCTCACCAGAGACAGAGTGGGAAACAGAACAGGCAGATCGACGAAGTACACTGCTGAGGGGAGCAGCGGGTGGGTCAGGAGAGGTCTGCCACGCCATGTGGTCTCCTCCGGGGCAGGCGGGAATCGAACTCATGTGGAAGCGGCTTCAGATTCTCAGTGCTGTGCTTTAACCCGCTGCGCCACCAGGGAGGGCCTCTACATGTGTATTTATATATGACTTCCATTCCTTATTGAATTTGATTCCCCTTTTTGCAGCAGTTGGGTCACTAAAGAAATAGTCACATTAACCAGGTCTAGAGAATTGGCTGTATCCTCAGTGATAGCTTCATCCATCCATCCATCCTCACTGTGTTTAAAAATAAATTGTTCGGTGCATAGACACACATACATACACATAAAGAATCAGTATACTTCTGACTAACAAAACTATTTAACAGAAATGGCCCCAGTTAATAAAAATCATCCTCTAAGACTTGAATTTTCTTCGTGTCTCTCCCAGCATTCATATGTTTTCTCTTTTGAGTAGATACTAATTTTTGCCATTTATACATTTGGTGACTGAGTCCCAGAGCCTTTTCTTTAGCAGATTTTGCCTTTGGGGTAGCCTTCTTACTGTCTTTGTTTTCCTGTTCCAGATCTCCACTGAAACATCTCACTTTCCCCTGGAAATGTCTCTAAATCTGTGTATCCCTCCCATTTCTTACTTAGTTCTATAAAATGCTTGAGCTTCATCATGGAGAATAGTTCCAGAAGCAGACAGACTTGTATGCTGTGCTTGACACGTGACCTACTTGTCGAGCAAGCACAGGAACAGATGGACTGTGAGTTAAGTTCTAGTGAGTGACACCGAGAGTCAAGATTTGATGCTTTGTGTCAGCCTGTTTATGCTACAGAAGTGTGCTTTCTGTTTTTGAGACTTCAGTTGGACCGCTATTACAATTAGAGATGTAAGCACCAACCAGAAACTAATAGCATTCTTCATATATAGCAGTTGATGTAGCAAACTGGGAATGAAGACATCTTTTTAAATATAGCTGTATATATTTCTTTAAGTGGGAAACATCATTATTGTTAAATATTTGATTTTTAAAAAAAGACAAATCATTTTAAAGTGAAAAAATGTTAGTATGGAAATGAGGAAAGACGAGATTGAGGGAATGATTTAAGAGCAATTGTGGGTGTTTAAGAGAAAAGTCTTTTTCCTTCCATTGTGATTTCCTTTTGTTGAAAATGGCAAAACAAAAGCCAGCAAATTGGGAAGGAAGCAGGAAATCCTAGTTAGTGACTGTCAGATTTGAATATTTAGTAGCCATGAAAATGCTTTATTTTTGTTACATTTTAGCACTTTTCTCCTCATTCATTTTTGCCTTTTCCCTGCCCTTTTAGAAAGTCATGAATTATCACCTCAGTTTGCTAATAAGGATGTAATTAAATAAAATTTGTGATTGTACAAAGCTAACATTTATGATTGTGGCTTGAGGGAAACCATTCCAGAATCTAATCACTTTCTGTACCCCTCCTGTCCCACTCCTCAGCCATGAATCGTGCCTTCTTCTAAGTAGAAAATTTAACCTCAAATAACAGAACTAAGGTAAAAATAAGGTGTGCCTGACCCTTTTACATCTGCTCTAGCCCTTTTAATTTACTTACTGGTTGAAAATATGTTAAAGGACCTTGTTGAAATAAAATTCTCATTTCATGATTATGTTAGAGAAGCAGGTTCTGGAGTACTAGAAGTGAAATTCTCTTCAGTGTAGTAGTTGTTAGATTTTTCCAGAAATGAATTGCTTTCCAGAAATGCTGTTTTTAGCCATAATGACCTTGATCTTTGCATTTATTTACTTGTATTTAATTTTTGTATAATGTCATTGTTACAGAAAAAGCTAAAAAATCATCATGTATTTAAAACAAGCGCACAAACCAGTTTCCCTTGGCCTGGGGCTGTGTGAAGAAGAATAAAGCTCTCATTTTGCCAGTACCCAATCATCAGCTTGAGTTGGCATCTCCTAGGAACAGAATTTATTGAAGCAATTTATCCTGGCTAAATGTGATATAAATCTGTGTACACCTATGTACATACAGGCTCTTCCATTACTGAAGCCGCGGCATCCGTTTCCTTCATAGTTAGGCCCTGCTTCTATCATGTTGAAAGATGACTTAAGAAGTCCTTTTTATTTTATGGAGCACCCCACAATTTTAAACACTGATTAGTGTGGAATTAATGATCAGACTATCAACCCTAGGATGAGTCTTAGAAGAGATGTTAGCTAGCTATTCTCTTGAGTTTTAGCCTGGTTTTCTGATTACAGTCCCAATTCTTTAACATTTTATTTTAATGTAGACCCGACTAAAGTTAATCTGACATTTTAGGTTATTTCCAAGATAAAAATGTGAAGTTTGGTTATAGTTTTGAAAATGTATCTAGGCATATTCAAATTGTAGTTCTTCCTCTTTCATTGTTCTTGTTGATATTCATTTCTCTATAGTGGAAGGATATTTGAAAATGTCCTTTAGGAGTTTATTGACACAATTTCTATCCGTCCCTCTACTCTCCACCCTTTCAACATACTGCACGGTAGAAATATTTTTACCAGGGTTTGCATTTATAATCCGTATTCATCTCTACTTCTTCATTCCTAGTAAGGATATAAGAAATTTCCCCAGCATATTCATATTAGCATTATTGTTCGTTGACAAAGAATTTTGATCAACATTTCAAGAGTTTAGCTTCAATAATTAAAAAACAACAACAGTATAAAATATAAACCCTGTTAAATTCTTCAGAGAAAGAAAGAGGACGGATGGTGATGCCTTTTAGTGCCATTCTCCTATCCCCTGCAGCAACAACACATCTGTTGGCTGCAGCAGAGCAGCCTAAGAACTCTGGGCTAGAGCAGCACAAACAGCCGGAACATATTCACCCAGTAAACCCCCAAAGAGTCGACATTTGTTTTATTGCTGCTTTTAAAAACCTGGCCATAAATAGAATCAGAGGGGGGAAGGGCACCGATATTTCTCCATTTGCCACAGACAATTGGGGGTTGGGGGTGGGGAGAGAGAAGGAGCCTCCCAGAGGGGAGAGAAGGCTTTTATTTTTTTATTAATGAAAATCATTTCCCGTGTAGCTCAATAGGATGGGTGCTTTGTTTTCTTTGGCAATAATCTGGGATAAACGGCCCTTGCCAGCAGTCTCATAGTTTATACACCAGGGAGCCAGATTATGGCCTTGTAAAATGGAGCACCCCTCCTATAATCCCTTAATTAATTAAATGACAAATTTTGGTCTTCTCTAGTTCAGAAATATGGCTTCCGCATCGAGCGTTCAGTGGACTTATTGACATAGGGAACTGCACTGATTGTAATTCAGCAGGCTAGAGAAGTGTGTTATATATACACTGTAGCTGAATGAGGGAAAATCTAGCAAAGGGTTAGAAAGTTCTTGACTATTTAGGTCTAAATTTTTCTAATTACAAGTTTCCGTTGAGGCACAGTAGATCATATGCCACCTGTCTAATGGGTCTCCCCAAAGTAGCCTGTGTTTACAGCTTTGATAGATGGCATTCTTGGAACACCTGTTTCCAGGCTTGATATTTTTGAAGCACTTTTTTTTTTTTACTCCAGCGTATTTAACATAACTTTTTCCCCTCTTCCCCCTCCTCAGCTCCGCTCTGCTGTATGAAATATGGGAGACGACAGACCGTTTGTGTGCAATGCCCCGGGCTGTGGACAGGTACGTTTACAATATACTTTATTGTGAATGTCTCGTTGTGAATCAAAGTGGCTGTTTTATCACTAAGGCAAAGAGTTTAAAGCCGGTATTTTACGTGATCACTGGAGGTAATCAGATCAGAGGATTTGCAGTGTGTAAATCCAAGTTATGAGGAAGTGCAGGCACTCTACCGTAATGAAATCTGCCGTGCTCGCTTTCATATTGTTATTCTGCTGGCGTTTGTTCCCCAGCACACAGTGTTGAAGAATACGTGTTGCTCTCTACTCCTTTCTAAAGCTATCCATCTAAATACTACACAAGTTTAGAAATATCTTCTCCTCAGCCTTCATGGATATAAAAGTCTGCTTAACATATTTGGATAGGCAGCTGGGAAGAGGCCCATTCATTGTGAACCCCAATTTGCCAGGGTCTATTTGAATTTTTTAGGAAAAAATATGTTTCTACTGTTGATTCAGAAAATCGTTGTTAGCAGCTAAGGTGGGTAATACAGCTATGAAATACATCCCTAACACAGAATCTAAGACCTCAGTGGAATGTATGAATTACAGGATTCCTTGGATGTTTTCCCTATCAGACACCCTGAAATGCTGTATTCTCTGTGTCCATTGCCATGTATTGTTTGCATATGTATACATTATGTGTCATATATTTTCATCATCTACTTTTTTAATGAAGTGATTTTGTAGAAATTGCACCACTGTAAGTCTTCTGAGATCCTCCCTATGGCTGTATTTCACAAAGCATAAGGGAAGGTATACAACGAAAGTTTTATCTGACTACATGAATTGATTTTATCGAAACTGAGCCTTGAATTTCTTTTCATTTAGGAATATGTCATGTGACTGTCCAGTGACACTTACTGGTGGTATGTGAGATTGCAGACTTGTTCTCTTACATACTAAATGCTTAGACAAAAAGAAGAGTTGAGTTCCAGAGATTCCTAAGAATTGGAATTTGAGAGGTGAATGGGAATGGGGGGTGGTAACAAGAAATGAGCAAAGGGATAATTCCAAATTCCAGTAAACGCTGAAATTTTCAGAAAGACTAAAAAGTCATTATATCCTGAAGTAAGTATTCAGCATTAGAGGGTATATTTCCTTTCTTGTCAAAATTTTTACCTTTATTGTTAACTGAAAGCTTTCCCTACATGGTTTATGTCTTACTACTTTTAAAAAAGATTTATTTATGCATATAAAAGCTATGGTGTAAGCCAGAGGTATGGGGGGGTGAGAGGATTCACCAGAGACAGAGTGGGGAGCAGAACAGGTAGATGTACTGAAATACACTGCTGAGGGGAGCAATGGGGAGACAGAGGTCTGCTGTGCCATGTGGGTCAGCTCCCTGTCTGGGGATGGAACTCATGCTGCAGTGCCTGGGGTTAGCTTGATGGCACTAACCCCTGCACCACGAGACAAGCCCTGTTTTTTAAAAAAATTATTTCATTTATTTATTCATACAAGAATTGGGGTGCCGGCCACAGGTGCAGGAGGTGAGAGGATTCACCAGAGACAGAGTGGGGAGCAGACCGGTGGATCTGCTGATAAACATTGTTGAAGGCAAGACAGGAGAGGTCTGCTGTTCCATATGTGGGTCAGCTCCCTGGCTAGGAGTGAATTCATGCACCACAATGGCTGGCAATAGCTTGATAGTGCTGAGACTTTAACCCCTTCTCCACCTTCTTTCTTACACACCAGTCTAGTTGAAAGAATAGGGTACATGTGTAGCAATTTTTTTGGACAGTTTTATTGGAGTGCATATCTGAACCTGATGCTTCCAAATGTTTGTATGAATTTGTGGATAATAGTATTTACTGTGACGTATGTAATGGATACCTAATACCTTTTTCAATTCTGTCCTTTATTTCAAAGATTTGCATTTCAAATGAAAAGATTTACTTTCTTTACATTTGTTTTTCTTCACTTAATGTTTAAGCTGTTTAATACCTGTACCCCCTCTTATTTGCTGTATGCTTAAAAGGACTTCAGGAAATACAAATGTATAATACAAATAAAGAACATATATAGAAAAAACATCTCATAACATTTCTGATAATCATGAAGTGATAATGAACAAGTAGGTTATTTTCAGAATCTCATCGGAAAAGAATAGTTTTAGCTGACATTTGTGAAATTCTAGAAGGAATTTGTGTTTGTTTTTGCTTTGGTATTTTGGACTAGAGGTAGGGGAACAGAAGGGACTTTTACTTTGGTTCCTTCTTATACGGTTCAGTTCTGTGTATCCTAGGTTTTTCCTCTTCCCTTACTTGTCCATTTCTGATTTTGTTGGTATTTTGGTTATTGGGATTCATATAACCTCTCCTGTAGGTTCTGAAGGCTCCCTCACGCTATCAAGTATGGAACTCAGGAAAATTGCTTCCTTCTTTTGAATTCAGTTCCTTGTTTCATAGAAAAAGTATAGGAAGCTACAGCTTAAGGCTTTGAACTTAGCATGATGTTATCCTCTTATCTCCTTGACATATACAAACTTTATGGTTAGATGGTGGCTGGTGTTTAGTTATAGTCCCCTTCCAAGTTTTTCCCAGTATCTAGTAACACACTGTAGAGTGGAATCTCTAGATAAAACTTACTGTGATTTCTTTACGTTATGTGAAATAGTAAAAATCTGGCACCAAAGATAAATTTGGTAAAGTGAACAACCCTGGTTCTGTCATTCAACTTCCTCTTATCCCTTAGAAACGGTTGCATTCTAGAGCCATTTTGAGGCCTTGAAGCTATTTATAATCTACTATCATTGATTTAAATTCTTTATTCTAGAAATGGTAGAATAATAAAAAGGATCTGTAAGTCCCAGCAGAAATAATAAAGACCATGATAACCATGAGTGGTTTAGAACTCAATGGCATAAAAATTTCCAAAAAATCAGTAGCTTCTACCTGTTAGAGGAAACAGGAATTAAAGCAAATTGTAATTGAAGAGATAGATCCTTAAGAAAAGCAACCAACAAACAAAAGCTAGAGGAATCTTGCATTATTTCAGCATCTGTCCCCTACCCAGACTTTACCTTGTACAGGTACCTCTAAACTCAGAAATCACCCTGTGCCTTAATATTAAGGGAAGGTGAAAGGAAAACTCACCTAAAATAGACTAGTGGATTATGCTCTCCACTATATAATCAAAACCACCGGGCTTTCAATGGATATGTAAACATGTTTTGGTTGCTAGGTCTTTAATGGCTGTTATTTTTGGATTCTGTTCATGATCCACTTCCCAACAGTAAGTCTGATGTGACACAGCTGAGTTCTAAATATGCTGCATGTACTTTTGTTTAAAAAAAAAAAAAGGCTGCTGAAGGTTGTGTTTGCTGCACTCTTATATCAAAAGACAGATGATAGTTTTTTTTTTTTTGAGCTCTCTCAGCCCTATTCTCCTATTGAGGCTCTTTGTTTCTCTTGAGGCCTCATCACCCTCTTGCTGTGGAACTAAGGGAAAGCAATATTCCTGCTAATACCACTCTGTGGAATTTGGTAACAGGAGTAGTTAATAGCACTGCCTCCAGAGAATGGGTTGGTGTTGTTAAGGCAACAGTGCCCCAGATACCTTGTATCAAAGGGCTGGTTCAGTTTAAGTTGTATAGGTTTTCAAAATGTTTATAAGATAGCATCTATTTAAAGACAGTGTTAACTACAAAGTGACTTTGCCTCTGTTACTGTAAAAATAATAGGAGTTTAGGAAGTCTTGTAAGTTTACAATTGCTGGGGGGGGGCTTTTATTTGAAGGTGGATTATAAAATCCTTCTGTTGTACGTGGAAGGGAGAAAATTTGCCATACCTCTCAGTAATCTTGAATATGAGATGTTATTTCATGTGGATACAGTTCGATAACTATCTTTCGGAAGATTTTTTTTGTCCAGTTTTAATTACCGGAAGTCCACAAATTCTGTATTCCTACACCTTCATCTCAGACACTTGACATTGATTTGTAATCCAAATTATACAGATTTAAGTAGGCCTTCTGGCTATCATAATCAAGTCTTTGAGGAGAAACTGGTCATATAAACTTACTACTTAGAATGTTTATTTCCTCAAGAATAGGAACACTTCTCTGAAGAGCTGCTACGAATGGACAGTATCCTATTATTAGCCATTGAGAAAGGTTTCTGTCCTTTCGTCTGTATCAAATTATCCATTTACAGAAAATCCTTTGGTCTTTTCTCTGTCCATTATGACTTGAGGGACTCTTAGTTTCTCCCCACCCCTCCTGTCCTCCTCACCCCCCACCCCACCCCCATATATTACCAGATTTACTCCCAGAGGCCAGTTAGATGCAAGTTGAGTTTCTGTTCATATCATTCTATAACATGAAACCTGTAACTGGTTCACAAACCTTGAGACCCTGTCTTCCCTTTCTAAGGCCTACAATAGCAGAAGCACCCTAGCTGTGGTGGATTGAGGGCAGCTTCTTCTACCTCCTTATCTTGTCATATAATAGGAATAATGTTTATGGTGCTGTAGTCTGGCTTTACTTGGCATTTAACCAACCTCCAGTGCTGTTTATTGCTTCGTATCCTCTGCATCCATGAACATTATCCCTTAAATCTCTATTGCTTTGTAATATATGAGGCAACAAATAGCTTCTATGATTGGGTAAATGCTGGCATGCTACAAAGGTATATGTTTTATTGCCTATGTAACACAAATCTATGGAGATTATTCCTTTTATCCCAGCCCTCCCATCAAATGGGCCATTCTGGTTCTCTGGGACTCTAGATTTTTAATTCTGTCCTTTTGGCAAGTTCCTCTATAATCTGGCACTAACACACACACAAAAAGAAAAAACCAAAGAAGAATGGGTTGATGCTGATTACTGATTCTTTTTGTTAGGGGACCATCTCGAATTGGAGAATGCCACGTAAAGAAGTGACTAGTAGGGAAACGCTGTTCACAGTGATATATATGCTAGCGTTACATTCTTCGACAGGTGAGGGCAATTCCAGGCAAACAAATAAGCCTTCCCACTCACCCCCTGCCAAGAGTTTAAAAA